ACAGTACTGGGAACACCTATACCATGCATCTGATCATGAGCAGTACACAGTACTGGGAACACCTATACCATGCATCTGATCATGAGCAGTACACAGTACTGGGAACACCTATACCATGCATCTGATCATGAGCAGTACACAGTACTGGGAACACCTATACCATGCATCTGATCATGAGCAGTACACAGTACTGGGAACACCTATACCATGCATCTGATCATGAGCAGTACACAGTACTGGGAACACCTATACCATGCATCTGATCATGAGCAGTACACAGTACTGGGAACACCTATACCATGCATCTGATCATGAGCAGTACACAGTACTGGGAACACCTATACCATGCATCTGATCATGAGCAGTACACAGTACTGGGAACACCTATACCATGCATCTGATCATGAGCAGTACACAGTACTGGGAACACCTATACCATGCATCTGATCATGAGCAGTACACAGTACTGGGAACACCTATACCATGCATCTGAGCATGAGCAGTACACAGTACTGGGAACACCTATACCATGCATCTGAGCATTAGAAGTACACAGTACTGGGAACACCTATACCATGCATCTGAGCATGAGCAGTATACAGTACTGGGAACACCTATACCATGCATCTGATCATGAGCAGTACACAGTGCTGGGAACACCTATACCATGCATCTGATCATGAGCAGTACACAGTACTGGGAACACCTATACCATGCATCTGAGCATTAGAAGTACACAGTACTGGGAACACCTATACCATGCATCTGATCATGAGCAGTACACAGTACTGGGAACACCTATACCATGCATCTGATCATGAGCAGTACACAGTACTGGGAACACCTATACCATGCATCTGAGCATGAGCAGTACACAGTACTGGGAACACCTATACCATGCATCTGAGCATTAGAAGTACACAGTACTGGGAACAACTATACCATGCATCTGAGCATGAGCAGTATACAGTACTGGGAACACCTATACCATGCATCTGATCATGAGCAGTACACAGTGCTGGGAACACCTATACCATGCATCTGATCATGAGCAGTACACAGTACTGGGAACACCTATACCATGCATCTGATCATGAGCAGTACACAGTACTGGGAACACCTATACCATGCATCTGATCATGAGCAGTACACAGTACTGGGAACACCTATACCATGCATCTGATCATGAGCAGTACACAGTACTGGGAACACCTATACCATGCATCTGATCATGAGCAGTACACAGTACTGGGAACACCTATACCATGCATCTGATCATGAGCAGTACACAGTACTGGGAACACCTATACCATGCATCTGATCATGAGCAGTACACAGTACTGGGAACACCTATACCATGCATCTGATCATGAGCAGTACACAGTACTGGGAACACCTATACCATGCATCTG